ACACACACACACACAGCTGGCTACTGAGTACTATTTAAACTCTTCTGATCAATTTTTTAAAATTATACTTTATTAGTTTCAGGTGTACAGTACATTGGTTAGACATTTATAGTTTATAAAACAATCCCCCTAATTGCTCTTTCTCTCCTCTGGCTCTACACATAGCTATCACATTACTGCTGACTGCATTCCCTATTCCGTGCTCCCCATCCCTGTGACCATCTATCAACTACTAATTTGTACTTCTTTAACCCTTTACCCCATTCTCCTAGCCCCCCAACCCCCCTCCCCTCTGGCTGTCACCAGATTGTCCTCTATATTTGTTTTTGATTAGTCTGTTCTTTTTGTTCCTTAGATTCCACATTTTATTGCCCTTTCAGAGAACTGTAGGTGGGATCAGGTGTACAGCACACATTAGCAGACAGACGAGTAATGGCTGTTGCTTCTTACTGCCCTTCACCAATGCCGCATCTTTGAGAGGGGAAGCAGATTTTTAAAAAGAATAATTCATTTTATTTTTCAAAATCAAATAAAAATTTAATTACTGATTAGTGGGTTCTTGTATATTGGAGAGATGAGAGACTTTTAGAGGTAAAGGGCAGCAAAAGGAAGATATTATAAAGTTCTGCCTACTTATCTTTTTTTAAAAACAATTGTCGAATAGGTAATACTTTCTCATGGAGTTCAAAAAGAAAAGATAAAAGGCTACACAGTAAAAAGGTTCCTTCTCATCCCATCTGTCAGCAAAAGCTCTGAGGTTTCCAACCCCTACGCAGGTAAATTTTGTTATTATTGTCTTATATATCCTTTTGGAGTTTCTATATAAAGCATACATAAGAAAGCATCAATATACATTCTTAATTTGTCCCCTATAAACAAAAGATAGCAGCCTATACAATTATATATCCTTTTTTCACTTTATGTATTCTGGATAGCTTTTTATATCAAGACATAAAGAGTTTCTCTTTTTTTTTGGTTTTAAAATTTATTCTTTAATAGCATCATGATATTACTTTTTTAGTAATGTACAACATTGATAGTAACCTCAAGTCAACTAGTTGGATAGCTTAAATAACATTCAGTATGCTTGGCTCTGTGCCTAGGATATTTACATATGATAATTAAAAGTGATCCTCATTCTTTCTGCATATTAAGAATCTAAGGTTCAGAGATTACATAATTTTCCATGTTAAAAATAGCATGTACTTTTGAAGCTGAATTCATGTCCTCTGATTTCAAGGCCAATATTAATTGGTAGTCCCCTACTTAGAAGTCTAAATTGACCAAACCATTCTCTTCAGTAGTTGCTTTGTATGATTATGTTCAGTACTGACTTTCCATGTTGCTTGATTGACTGATTAGTTCAGATGGCCAGACTTGTTCCACATATACTAGGGTGACATGGACACAGGAAAAGCTTGGCAGGACTTGAGTTCCTAAAGGTAAAGACTAACAAAGTCCTTTCACTCATTATCATTTTGGTCACTCTTCTTTTTTATCTTTTAGGAATAAATTTAGCTTTTCTAGAATTGGGAAAATATCTAGAATTGGGAGCTTGTTTGATTCTCATGAGGATGAGTCAAATTTTATTTATAAATTTCTGTGGTGCACTGTGAAAGAATATGTGCGACCAGTGCCATGAGGAGAAAGGGAAAGAAGCATGGTGGTAAAAGCACTTAACTGTGGCAGTTCTTCTCAAACAATTTTCTGACCAGGTCCCAGAAAGGAATACACTTGGGCTGGCCACTCAGCAGCAGTCCTGTCCTTGAAAACCAGATCATTTGGGAGGCTACCACTCTAGACTTTGATGGTTCAAATAACCTACCAAATAGGGAGTCCAGTTTTTTATAGAAAATTTGTCAAGCTGTCAACAAATCATATCGAATTATGTTTTATGCACAGTCCTCTCTTGCTCAACCTCCTCTGTTTCACTGCTTCTGATGCCATAAAAAATGGAAGAGCACGAAATAAAGATAATTATCTTTGGGGGGTTTATTGCCTTATATTTATCTTTACAAATTGAATACCCATTTATGCTCTGGGATATCTTTCTCTGGCTGTTTCAGTTTAGTCAATGTGGTTCATATTTCCTTCATTCACATAACAATAATAAAAAGTTAGATATATCTAACATACCATAGATAGGCACCAGTATGCAGAATTACAGAGGGGGGATGCATTTTAGAAACAGAGTCATTGAATTCAAAGGAGAAAATTGTCGTATTCTTAGCAGAAAGTGGCTGAGGCATAGCAAAGTCTAATATATTTCTGACCCTTAGATTTACGGTACCTATCCAGCAGAGCCTACTTCTTGAACTCAGTTTCCTTCATGAAGAATGACTTAACAGGCTGCCTACGGCTTCTCTCCATAAGCCTGTGAATAGATGACAGCTCCTGGCACAGTTTCACTTCTAACCTTTTTTCAGGGCAGCCTGTCCTCCTATCCAAGTCTATTTGAAAATGAGCACTTATGGAATTTAGAGTTTTGACAGTGTCTTGTACTTACTGGTATTGAATGAACCCTCATGTCTCTTTTTGGGGATTGCTTTGGTAATGATACTGAAAGTAAAATCATGGAATCGTTAGAATGAAAGATAAGTACATACATTGTACATGTACCTTGTTTTTCACCTAGCAAATGTGGAAAATACTTTTCTATGTCATTCATCATGTTGAAACTTGCTTTTTGGTCACTCTTCTTTTTTATCTTTTAGGACTAAATTTAGCTTTTTTAGAATTGGGAAAATATACTAATAATAAAATCACAAAAATCATAGTGCAATAGAGAGATGTCAGTAATAACTAAATGCTTCATTTTCTGAAGTGCTTTCTATGGAATGTAAGTCACAGTAAGATACTGAATAAAAATATTGTTTCAGTGTTTTCTGAATTTAGATTAAGATTTTTTTTCTTTATCATTAAAAACTAATGGAATGGAACACATGAAAGGTTTGGGGTGTGTGTGTGTGTGTGTGTGTGTGTGTGTGTGTGTAAAGATGTGTCATGACTAAAAAAATGTTTAAGGAATGATTTGAGCTAAAAAATGAAAGGCTCCTGGGTTACTTAAGCAATACTTAAAAGGCTTCTACAGAGAAAGGTGAGCTTTCTTTCTACGAAAAAGAAAAGAGCCTTTGGTTATAGTCTGTGGGATTATATGAAGATTGTTAAAAATTAAATTTTCCATATAAACTTGGGCTGATAGATTGGTAGTAGGGAAGGGGCTGTATTGGATACTATGAGAATTTAAAGAAATATGTGATTTTTTTTCTCAAGAAACTTCTCATTTATTTGGGCAGACAAGACAAAACACAGAAAATAGTTAACGCCCATAATGAGATAGAGAAGTTCAGAGAAAAGGGAGGTCAGTATGGGCCAGTATGATTCTAAACTGGGATAGGGGTAGGGTAGCATGAGAATAACTAGAAATGTTTTAAAATACACATGCTTGAGCCATTTTATTTTCCCCTCAAGATTCTAGGGGGTCTGGAAGGCAAAGCCAAAAGCACATTTAGGCATCTGTACTTTGATAAAAGATAACTGGGCAATTATATTTCTGATATTTCTACCATTTTCTTCCTACTACCTGCTGAGTGAGAACCACTGGACTGGAGTGAAAGAGTGGTTGTGTGTAGCAGATACACAACAGGGAGAAAAACCAAAGCAAGCAGAGGAGTTTGGTCACTTTGGATAAGAGAGATAGGTAGGTAGGTGGATGGATAGAGGGATGATTGATAAGTAAATAGGAAGCAATTTAAATTTTTATGCACAATGTCACCTCTTAAAAATACTGCTTAGGGTTGGGTCATACAGTAGAGAGGTAATAGAGTGCATTAGTGGACCTGATGTTATGAAATTTTTTAGTTGTAAGGAACTTTTTAACTCTAACCTTCTTGTATAAGTAGAAAATTGAGGATTTAGAGAAGTTAATTGTTTTATCTAAAACAGTTTATGTCAGAGCTAGCCAGTAAGCTAGTGTGTAATCCAAGCATGTAGTGATGAAGACCTGAGCAAGGTTGGTGTTTGGGAATATTATCATGTTAAGTCCAGATAAAATACATGTTTACGAAGAAAAACCAATAGGTCTCAATCATCCATTAGTGTTTTTAAGAATAAAGAAGTAATTAAAGGCTCCTTACCATTTACACATTGACTCTTTCAGAAAGCTTTAAAAAACATCTTTCTAAACTTGGACTTATCCTTTAAGAAACTGCTTCTAGAAGAAAAGTGGCATGCGCTTTATACGGTATCTTATAAATGACTTCGCTTTTTCATTATATTATTATAATCCCTCACTTTGAGGAGTCGAACTTTTTTTGCCTGCTAAAAATCTCGATTTAATTCTTGTCTGAGAAAGAAACAGTAATGAATTTCATGTTTTTCAGGTAACTAAGCAAGACAAGAACCTCATAAAGCCTCTTTATGATCGATGCAGAATTATCAAGCAAATATTGTCAGCGCCTTCCCTTATTCCAACAATTGTAAGTCAGGATGCTTGCATTAACTAGAAATCTGTATTTATGCTTTGTATTGGTGTTTAGTTAGGGAGGCAGCACTATGAGAGTTATAAAGGGTCCTTCTTGGCTGCTAACAAGGCGAGTTATTTTCAAAAAGTAGAAATGTGGTCTCCATCAACCTCAGTACTATACTTAACAGTGGCTGATAATTAAAATTATTGTGAAACAGGAATATATAGTGGTGTTTTTTTGTTTTTGTTTTTTCGCAAATGTATTTTTGAAGGCAGTTTTAACATTTTCTTCCATTGCTTGGTTGAGTAGAACAAATGATGGATTTCAGTTTGGCATTATCTAATTTACAACACAGCTAGATAAAATATAGCCTTTCTATTCTGTTATTTTATCTCCTTTCCTAAGAAAATTGACAGTATGTTACTTGATATAATGCAACATTTGTTTTTGATACCATTCAGCCATCACTGTACAAGATATAAGTAGATTCATTTCAATAGAAAATATGAATACTAAAATTGAGTTAGACTACTTTTAATAAAGAATGATTTACAAGAATACAGAACTAGAAAAGCACCACAAATCCTACTCCATCAATATTCAACAGTCACTTGTTCAAGATAGCAATATAAAAAGGAATAAATATTAACAAATATAAATTTAAATATACTTGAGTACATTTACACTTTCACAATTTTAAAGACAAAGACAATAGTGATTCGTAATCTTTGACATTTTTCCATTAAGGAAGCATAATTTAAATTGGGGTATGATTTTCGGATTTCCTTGCAAGAAAATCTTTTGGTTGTGATAAGCATTACCAGAACAAGTTAAAGAGTAACTCCATTTTGCTTTGGCCTCAGTAGGGCTCTTTCCTGAATCTGTCAATTTTCTGAGTACCCTCTGTATCTGAATGTGGCCCACAGCAGGACCTGCTTTGGGGTATTTCTGGATGACAAAAGGTATCTGTAGTCCATCTGATCCCAACCCACATAAGTGTTATGAATCTGGGACCTAGAATGTCTGGGTAAAAGAAATTACTAGGCAGGGCAGCCCAGACTGGACTACATCTTAGATGTCTCTGCCGCCTTTGGCCCAGTAAGCAGAAATGAACTTGGTGAATATTTTAGCCCAGCATGGGTATCTCTTGGCTCACGAACTTCTGCAAGTTTTTTGATGCAACTGAGGAAGAGTTCCTTTTGGCTGCTTCCTTTTTGGTTCTCAGTAGGCATAGGGCTCACCTACTGTTTTCATGGCATCTTTTTATGGTTCCCCATCCTGTTTTTGCTTCCATGAGAGACATTTAGCATTTTGTGACTTTATTTAACTCTGCCTACGATAAGCAGGAGGAAGAGGACTCTGATGAAGACTGTCCACAGGGAAGCCAACAACCTTCTTTGCCAGATCCAGCATCTCACCTTCCTGGTGGTGATCACCTAACCTACTCTAATGAGGCTGAGCCTGTAAGGGTCCTACTACCAGATGAAAAGAAAGAAATCAAACAACCAGCCCTCTCCATGTCCAATTTACACGAGGCCACCATGTAAGTGCGAATCTTAAGTGTAGCATCATCTTTTAACACCTTCTGGTCTGTAGTACCTTATATGTACATACAAAATTCAGAAGAGCTATTAGACTCTAAAAATGCTATCTACCAGAAAGCCTTAAAAGCATAATCCGGTTGTCTTCTTAACTGGAGAATTGAGAAGATGATGCCATGAGGAACCAAGCCCAATGAGGTCCTAAAGATGTCATAAATGCTAATATTCAGTTTGCTACAGATGCACATCTTTTCAGCAGGGCCTGGCACCAGTCTAACTCTTGGCAGTTTGTGAAGTGAAGCTGGCCTTTGAAAATGCCAGACCAAAGGAATTGAGATCCTGTGTGGGTCAACAGTTATCAGGGCCTTTATTCTAGTCTGTGCCATTTAGATAAGATAGTTTCTCCCGGTTGGGAATCCCCTTGGCCTTAAGTAAATGAGCCTCCTTTTGTTTCCTAATGGCCCTTCAGTCAGGACCTATTTGGGATTTTCATTAGCATTATCATTATTGTCATTCAGTAGCTGGCATTTCTCTTGATCATTTGGCTTTCCTTTGGTTTGTACATTACAGGCCGGATTATGAGATTTCCTTTAATGTATATTATGGTAAATGTATGCCCAAGATAGGGATGGAATCCCTACAAATATATGAGGTGAAATCAATAATTAAATTGTAAGTTGAAATTTTAGTGTCCTTGTGGAATCAGTTGGTACCTTGATTTCAGCTCATAGAAGAGTGACCTATTTGGAAGCAGAAAATTAATCTTTCTTCCTCCCTCCCTTCATCTTTCCCTCCCTTCCTCCCTTCTTTCATTTATTTGTTGGTTAGTTGATTGGTTAGTTCTAAAGCAGCTGTTCTGAACTTATTTTAAGTGTTGGACTTTTCGGAAACCAATGGAATTTTTTTTTTTTTTAAATAGAATTTCAGGGAGTTCACAGAGTCTCATTCTCTGAAACCATACACTAGTTCCCCAGATAAAAATTCTTGCTGTACAGTGTGATTTTTCTCTCTCGTCTTAGTTGAATGAAGTGAGTAGAATTTTCAATGTAGTTTTCTTTTATGTCTTTGTTTCATTTCCTAGGGGTTTGCCATTCTCCCCATACTCTAGATTAAGGGTAGAATTTTCTTTAAAATCTTTTCCTCTTGTGCCTCCATCTTCATTCTATCACCAAACACTATGACTGTTCTTTCCAAAAATCTTTCTTGCTCATGAATTCATATGGCTTTTATCTTCACCACTTTTATAATGGATTCAGTTTATTTGCCTCCTGTCTGTCCTCTCTCCTTTCCTATGACATTGTTTTCATCAAGTAACTTCCTCTGCTTATGTGCTCCTCTATGGTCAAGCTCTATATGTGCCATACTGATTCAAAGACACCTTTTTAGGAAGAACACTTCTGCCTAAATATCATAATATGCTTTTGCTGAACACATAAATCTGTTCACGATCTCTCAATTATCTCAGAGCTCAGTAATGGCAAATATATATTTTACCTGATATAGGCCTGTACTTCTTGACCATCTCCGAGAAACTAGGGCTGACAAGAAGAGACTTCGGAAAGCCTTAAGAGAATTTGAAGAACAGTTTTTTAAACAAACAGGAAGGTAAGTGTGGGTGGAGGTATATTTTAAGTTAATATTTCCTAGAGAACTATTGTTAAATATGAGCTAGAATTTTTTGAGGAACAGTGATGTTATACAAGATGTAAATAATTTCCACAGTGACTTAGACCCAGGATTTGTCTAATGCAACATTCTGTTAATGCCATTAGTTAGGTACATTTTATGGGAGGCTGTAGCTATCAAGTATGAAAAAAAAGGTTTGAAAAATAAAGGATGAACTCCCTAAATCCCTAACTTTAAATAATAAATATCGCTGTAACTATTCAGTCTATCTAAATCTTTAAAAAATTGATTTTTCAGCCTACATAACTTCTTTGTTCTTGGTTACTTAGTTCCACAAGTTATTCCCTAGTTTATTAAATAATTCTTTCTTTCCATTAAATATATCCTTTAAACTTCAGGATACTCTTAGTTATTTTATTTTAGGATTTGGTCAAAAGTTCATAGCTATTCTTTCTATCCCTTAAATATTTAGCTTAATCCTCCATTTGTCCTTTCTTTTTCTATGTCAACTCAAGTGTCTCATTCTGCGCTCCATTAGTTTTCTCTAAATTTTAGTGTATCATCAACACAACAAATATATATATATGCATATATATATATATATGCATATATATAGTATATATATAAAAAATCATGAGATAAGGGTTAGTAATCTACTTCTGGAAGAGACAATGACAAATCTCTTAGCTATTCTGAGCCTGTTTCTATGATGAAATAACTGGACTTTCTGGGATGCTTTGGAAGCATAGCTGTTATATGGGATGTCAGTCTTAAAAATAATAATAGTGGATATAATTTTCCAAAAGTCACAGTGTTGCCAAGTGGGGAAGAAAACGGACTGGCATGTGAAGGAACAGCAGTTCAAAAGTCACAGAGTTATTAAGGTGGCAGAGGTGGGAGTCAGTGATGCACTGGCTTCTCGGTATTCCTCTTCATCTATGTATTTGCCTTTCCTGAATGGCTTTCATTTCAGCAGACTGAGGGTTGCCCTGATGGAGAGAGACTATTTTCTAAAGCATCTTAAAAGGTTGGTCTACTCACCTCTTAGGTCAGCAGCTTTTTCATTTCAGTCCTTCAGGGCTGTTCACTAGGACTGGACCTAAGTCAGAAACTTTTTGCATTCAGCAAATAACCCACCTAGTTTTCTGCCTGGAATTTTTCTTTCCAGTTCATTGCTACAAGTCCAGGTTACTTACCTTTTTGCTGATATTAACTAATCTAGTAAGGATGTTGTGTGGCTATTAAACTTAGTATAAAACATAATTTCCTGTTTTCTTTTTCCATTTCTATTTTTTCCTTTATAAAATTTCCATACAACTTTTACATTTTTACCTATCTAAACCCAGGAGTCTGTTTTAAAGAGTTTGAGAACTTCTCAGTGTACTAGTAGTCCTGCCTAATGGATCTGCCATGGTACTTGGCATGCCTTCCGACATACAGGGAAGTGCTACATACAGTATTCTACTTCAGCTGTGAGTCCTAAACCCATTTCAGATATGTCTATATTTGACTGAGGTTGTATGCCCTCTTGTGGTAATACACTTACACTAAATGCGAAAGTGGTGATATGTTACAACCAAAAATAAATGGTTGAATGGCTAGGAAATATGGATCTTAATCTTGTTTTCTTAAGACATTTTATTAGGAAGACCTAACTATCCATAAGGTAAAATAATCATGCAAATGGCTTACTAAAAATTTTAAGGTGCTGTAAATGTTCTTATATTTACTATACAAGAGGCATAATCATATAGATTTGACATTAACAATTATGAGTCAGGAATTATGCTAAGAAGCACTTTAGCATGTTTTATATAATGGGAAATTGCTTCAGGAGATACTAGAAAAATTTTTTATTCTGGTCAATGCACTCTTGTTTATTAGGAAAACAGAGTATGCAGGGAAAAGTTACATAATGGATTATTCATGTTTCCCAATAAATTAGACCATTTCTTCACTTAGATTTGTGTATAAAAATTAAAGTGGTTTTTAGACACTCAGTTTGATAAGTCTGGGCCATAGTACAGAATGGAGGCAAAGGAATTATGTTATATAATTTAGACATTTAAGAGGAACCCTGCCTATAGATTTGTGTACCATTCTGAGTTCTGTACTAAAAATTGCAGGGCAGTGAATAGTGGTACAACACGAGTAGATAACTACATTTTTAGGAATAACCTTTTTTTATTTGTAAGAGATATAACTTTTATGATACTGGGAAAGTAGAAGGGAGCATACATAAGACATTAAATATTTGATTTTTATCCATTTTCAGCCATACTGATATTGAAGAGTATTTATGTTTATATTCAGTAGCAATTGTGGTGACTTCATCTGTTTGCTACTCCTTGTATTTCAAAGTCATAGGTGAAAATGTTTTAAAAGCAATTAGCTACCTTATCAGCCAAGGAGCAAAAGGCTTCTGAGATCCTAAAGCAATTGTTGCCCTGTAGACTAAAGAAAATGTCCTGGCAAGATATTTTTGTTGGAAGGCAAATGGTTTTAACTCCAGATGATGCCTAATTGTTGTTCAAAGTAAATGGCAAGAACATTTAGAATGCATATGTATAAAAATCTATTCACTGTCTTATGTCTAGTCTTAGTAGAATGAGATGTAAAGAGAACCACTGAAATTAAGACTCATAAATTACTTCAATCAAGGAACTTCTCAGTGATTCTACTTACTACACATTAGCAGAAACAGGTATAATTACAAGAAAACCTGGAAATATTTCATGTTTGTAAGGTAGCTATTGAACTTTTTTCTCCGATCACCATAAATTTATAAATTATTTTTGTTAATATGATTTCTGTAGTATTTTTACTTGATATTTTAAACAACTATCACTATAAAGGTGGAACATTCTGCATAGGCATGGAACTGTGGCATGGATAATGGGGGAATGACAAGACAAGGAATGCCTGAGGGTTCTGTTTTTTTCCTCTGACCTTTTCACTTGCCATATTGTTATATGCACTGGACCATATATTTGCAAAACACCTATGACACTCAAGTTCTTGAAGGGTACTATTATGTAGAAATCTACTAACACATGGAAGAAGGAATGAATGAAGGTGAAAGGGAAGGTGAAAAAGACATGATACAAAAACTAGGTGGAAACTACTTCCCTGTACTTTCTCAAGTAAGAATTATAAAATGATTTATAATGACTTGATTTATTCTGAACTAATAGATGGTATTTTTTGTTTTGCAGAAGTCCACAAAAGGAAGATAGGATACCAATGGCAGATGAGTACTATGAATACAAGCACATAAAAGCCAAACTGAGACTACTAGAGGTCCTAATCAGCAAGCAAGATGTGGCCAAAACTATCTGAGGTTCAAGAAATATTTGTGATCACTTTCAAGATAAAGTTTATTTTCCTCTGCCACTCTTGCTAAGTAAGTAGTTTTGACATACCAAAAACTGAAGCACTTTAGTGGTAGTATTAGCTGTTTTTAAGAAGGGATGGCAAATCTAATTATAAATGAAGAGGGATTTAAAAAGGGTGGAAGTACAGTAACAGGATAATTGGAAAAAAAATTCAACTTCCTCCATGCCAAGGAGAAAACATTATAATTATTTTGGAAAACATCTCAATAACACATAGCATCCACTTGTTCAATGGGCCACTTAGTAACGTCTATTTAGTGTCCAAAGATTGCTTATGTTGATGTATGGAAAAAAGCATGATTCAAAAACTTAAGAGGAGGAAAATAAACTCTTCTTTTTACATAGGAAGGAATACAGATAGTAAGAATGTAATTTATCTGAAACTTATAATAGATTTTTAAGTAATAAAAAAAATCTACTACCTTGTCCCGTCTGCTAGACTTTCAGTACCCTAAAATATACTAGAATGTGTCACTGCTAATTTTTTATTTCTATATAAAAATAGTACATTATTTTATCTGTTAATTGAAATTTTACATTTCTGATTACCAAAGTTCATTCTGATAGCATGTACTTTGTGAATTATCTTTGTCTATAATTGGCAGATGTTTATATTAAAATAAAATATTGTATTAAAATTTGAAAATAGGTATTTTGGATAGATAAGTGTCTGCAGTATATAATTTAATGTGATCATAGTTATGATTGCTAATCTTTTTGTTTACTATAACTAAGATTATATAACTATTTTTCCATTGGGAATATGCATTTTCTTAATGTTCCAAGGTCTATCTTTTGTTAAGTCAAAAAACCTTCTCATGAGCTATAGCTATTCGTCATTCTGTACAAAATGAAAGGTTTGAAAATTGTTTGCTATGATACCTTGGAAAAGAAGCCAGAATATTTTATTTGCTTCATCAACTTTAGTGTATATTGTTTTGTTATTTTATACTAAAACGTGTTTATTTCTGCTTTTGTAAAAGTAAAAGGTTGACATTTTCTCTTGTACCAACCATGTTTGTATTTCTATTTTCTGTAATGTTTAAGCATGATGTAGAACAAATTCACATTTTCATATAGTTTGGATGGGAAGAATATTGACTATTTCAGAGGCTTATTGTTTTCTCTGTATTTACCTGATATTTTGTAACTTTTATGAATCAGAATAATGTCCTTCATAAATTTGTTTAAAGTCATCTACTTGTAACAGGACAGATACACAACTATTTGAGGTTTACAAACTACATCTTTGATAAGGGAAATGGTTTCGTGACATGTATACAATTGCTATTAAAATGTAACTATATTCTATATGACTGTAAATATTTTATACAACAATACAAATAAAATATTTTTCTATTATATTTATTATGTTGAAACACAGTAGTTGTTTCCTGTTAGCTAATATAAATAACATAAATAACACTGTCAAACAACAAGTTGGAAGTGCTGACAATTCTAGGCTTCAAGATTTAACTCATGCTGCAATTACACCCTTTCATGCGGTTTGGAGTTATCCCAATATTTGTTCAGTAGATTAAAATGAATGCATATTCAAACACCATTTATAAGCCATTATTTTGTATTTTGCTAAAGCAGTTTATATAATTGTTTTGTTATGTTTGGCATAAAGGAAAAATAAAAACATTGCAGCATCTAGGCAATAAAGTGTCAGAATGTAGAATTTAGGATTAAGTAGTGGAAAGGGTAGGGAATAGGAAACACTAAAACGGCTCTGAATGAAATTTGAAAAGCGGCAGTTTGCTTTTGGTGATAGCGGCATGTGCATGCTTCAGTGGAAAACATCTGGTAATGAAAATGGACGACAGAGAATCAATGCTCCTAAGGGAAAGAAAGGGACTGCATAAGAAAGTGGGCATTAACGTCCAACACTGATATTACAGGTTTTGCAGCTGGGATCTTTCTTTGCATTTGCAGTAGACAAACTCATGAGCTGATGACCAGTGATTTCTGCCACGGTGCCCAGAGAAAGATCCACAGGGTCAGTATAAATGACTTCTAAAATGACATCCTGGGCATGGTGGTAAACCAGCACCCCATCTTCTTCTGTGCAGGTCAAAAATTTATTATCCTTGGAATTTAGTTGAGGAAGGCGCTGCTTACAAAATTCATCTCCTGGTGATCCCACAGGAGCAATAACAAGAATCACATAATGATAAGCAGTGTACATACAGTAGAAGTCCCCAAAGTATAAGTTAGTGTTGGGGTTAAAAAGTTTTTCTGCTGCTATCTCAAACCTGTATCTTCCATAGGGTGAATCCTGGGGCGGCTTCCCAGTATTGAATTCAGTGCTGCAGCTGAAGAAAATGCCTTCTAATTTTCCACTGATAGGAGATCCATGGCTACCACTGTTATCCTTGACAGAGGGCTGCATAGCATTCCCATGATGTTCTCTGCAAGAGAAAAAAATGTGCAATGCTTGGTACAACAGTGGTAAAGCTATTGATTTATAGATTTGAGTAGGCCTAAAAGTCAACTGTCTGCTATTAGAAGTTGGAATGCTCATCCTATTATCACATCAAGGAGAATGTATCTTTGACATTATCTATAGATGGCTAAGTTCTAGCCTTGACCTTAAGCTAAGGATGTTCTGTTGCAAACCTTGGAGGTCTTTAACATAATAAATTTCCTGGTCAGAAAAAACAAACTAATTTACATGGATTTTACAACTATCATGGAAAATTCAACAAAAATAGATTTACTTTTTAGTAAATAAAACAACTTTCATACTAGTATACTGGAATCAACCGTACAATATATACAATAACTTTTTTATTTTCCATGTTCTCTCTCTATCGTTTTTTCTTCTTGGAAGAATTTTTGAAAACAGATGAAGCAAATTTTAGAGTATCTAAGCACCTGAAACAGACCAGTTCCCGCCCAAAGAACAGAGAAAATCAGAGAAATACTGACCTCCAGTGGTCACCTAAAATAGACACTGGCAATATTCCAAAAATCTAAACCTAATACCAAGATGTATTTATTTATTCTATTGTATTTCTTATTAAAAAAAAAAAAAAAATAGCAATAGTGGATCTTTTTTGTTTTTAAATTGTATGCTTAAATATAAAGAAATACCTTTGTTGGTGAGTATATACAGTCATTTCCATTCAACAATATTGACAAATACAATAATTTGTGTTGTATCTCTGTACTCTAAATTAGGTGAATGGCATCCACCATGAATTATATGGACTCAAAGGTAGATAATTTACCAGATAAAAGAATTACGGACAAAACTCAGTATTCATAGGATGGATATTCAAGTATAAGGCAAGAAAGTTTTCACCATCAAAATATGTAAAAATATATAATATTGCAAAGCACTTCATTTGAACAACACAGATGCCTAAATTCATTTCTCTTTCTATGATTCCTTTTGTATTTTCCACAGCTTGGAGCTGATTTAAATCTGGAACCGTGGTTTTGATTTAAGAAAAACTAGAGCAGAATGAAATAACAAAGTTTCCTAAATTTCTTTCACATACAATCCTGTCAATTTACGAATCTTTAAGAGTTTAAAGTGAAACCAAGGCTTTTAAAAATGACAAATTATAGGAATTACTGTGTAAAAGTTTTAGAACCTATATAGGATTTATCATTTTAAAAGGCTTAGTCTCACTTTAAAAAACACATCTGCCTATTTACTCTCCTGAAATTTTCTTCTACAAATGTGAAAGGACTGTAAATACTAAAAATACCTGTGGCATAAAATTCTTTTGAATTCTTGCAAACTGCTCCTGGGATAAACAGAGGCTATCTTATAAATACTAGCTGAACACTAGAATTCAAAAGTAAACAAAGTAGACTGTCCTTGTGAATAATTAATCCAAGATAATGGCTGAGAGATTTCTACTTAGGTGAAGCCTGAAAATCCCACTGGATTCACCATAATATTTCAGGAAATAATCACTCTTATATTTTTTCATTTTTAATGTTTTAAAGAGATCCACGAGAAGAGAAAACTCAGTAGCCGATATGAGACAGAAGGTACTGAGTTACTGAGAATTAGAGGAGTACGTACATGAAATGTTCACCAGTCTAAATCCTAGAGATTTAAGATCTTTCACTCAAATAGACAGGAATTGGTATTACAACAGATTACAATAAGGAATCTGAAGAAATGGAAAAATCCCCTGATCTGACTTTTTCCACTTAATTATTCTAGGAAATAAAATCAGAGTATAATTAATTATTTTAAAAAGAAAACTAAAACTGCTATTTCACAGAATTAGAGTCAAGGAAAATCTAAGTTTAGAATTTGGGATGGCATTTAGTAAAGCAAATCACCAAATATATAGATATATTTGTACATAGATATATATATTTGATTCTTACCGAATATAGTCAAAATATTCTTTGTGCTGATTACGATAAAAAACAGAAAATTTTAGCATCCGTCCTGCAATCACTTCAGCCTTCTCCAACAGTTGTGTTAGATGAACTTTTGAATAGTCTGAAATAAAAGAAGTCTGTTATTAAAAATATATTATCAAAAGTACCAACTACATGCTTAATAAATTGAAGATTATTAAAATTCATCTTAGCAGGAAATTACATTTAACAAAGAAAACATTGTCTTTGTGTGGCACATTTTTTTCTACAAAAATATTTTTGTTATGGTTTATGGTTGTTTTTTAGAATACTCTTGCATTTTTTTCACTCTTTGAAAGATCCTGAAACAAAAATGTGCAATAAGGAATAGAGGCTCTGCCTAACTCAAGTATTGTCCTTCTGCACCATACAAGCTTTTCTTCAATCAGCTGATAAACTGAGTAAAAGAAGCTTATAACTTGCAATCAAGAGCAAATAGAATTTAAAGGAGTAGCAATAATAATGTTCACTTAATTTACTCCCTAAATCTATGAGATTGGCAAGGTAGATTAAATAGAACCATTTTAATGATGTAGAAGTTGTGACTTGTCACAGTGTAATGATTTGCCTAAAGTTTCTACAGTTAGTATCTTAGAAACTAGGTCTCTGGTCCTGAGTTGATGGTTTCTGGGTACACAAGACTGTTGAAAGTCTCTAAAGCATGTCTTAAAGTAACCCTATCTTTTACCAACTTTTTGTTTTGAAATTGAGGATTGTTGTCAAATTCCCGTGTAACAGAATCTGAGCAAAAAAATTTGGTCTAGAAAAATTATAAGACTTTCCAAATAAAAGCAACCTAATTGCATTGCTCATGGTTTGTTTACCCACTGCTTCACTGGCTCAACAAACATTTCTTTAGTTAGAACATATGATTTACCAGGTACCATTCGAAATTAGATGATCAGGTTAA